GAATAAATTGCTTATTTTCTGCCTTCCACATTCCTGTAGTTGTGGGAATTATGCTAGTAATTCTCCCTACTCAGCAATAATGTCATTAATATCCATTCAACACATGCAAAACGCATGTATACCGGACCCACCATTGTGGTCGAAAATAATTCACATGGGATTATTTTATCTATCAAAGTATGTCATCATTGAATTGAATGGAATCGAATTGAAGTGAATTTTTTAGCCATTAATTAATGAAGTGACTTACTTAATATAATCTGCTGGTTCAGGTATATTTATGCTCAGACTGTAATAGGATGCCGTCAGTGGATTCACCGCTTCTAAATACAACGAAATTGGATTACGTATCTTTCTATTCCGCAATGTTTGCGAGATATGCGCCAGATTCTTTCCTCTGCTGAGTATATTTAATTAATATTAAATATATATGGTATATTTTTAAAATACCTCCATTTGTTATTTTGCTGACTTCCAAACTCTTTTCTCCATAACCAGTTTCTGTGCCAGCTGACACCGTCACGAAATACATTGCAGCAGGCTGAAGGTCAATGATTGTTATCGACAATACCTTCGTACTTTTAAGCTCTGAACATTCTGGAGACGTTTCTTTTGTACGAAAACATATTTGATATCCTATCAACTCATTATTCGGTCCATTTGGGGCTTTCCAAGATACTTCCAATGACGTTTTACCACGGGATTTTACAACAACATCCAATGGAGGTCCTGTTAATGAAATAACGGGAAGAGAAGGTTTCATGCAGAGATCTGCAGAGCAGATCACAATATTTCAGATGTTAATTGCTTATATATTTGCTATTCTTTTCAACATCCACTACGACCTACGACCCATTTTCACTTTCGCCTATGTTCTTTGAAAAAGGAAAACTAGTTTGCATGCCAGATCAATGAACCAAGGAATCGAAATTTACAGATTTTATCAATATTTTTACATTTTTACTGGATAACAGGTATCAAATTCGTTTACCTCCATCTGTAATTTCACTGATTTCCACACTTTTTTTTCCATAACCGACTTTCGTGCCGGCAGAGACAGTCACATAGTACTTTGTGAATGATTCAAGAGTAGTGATAGTATATGAAAATGCTGTAGTCAATGAGCATTCCGGATTTTTATCGTTTTCCATTGTAGAATAGCAAATTTGATAACCTGTGAGTTCACCATTGCGAAAACTTTTTTCAGGAGGTTTCCAGGATACGTTAAGGAAGTCTTTGCCTCGGGAGGTGAAAGCAACTTTCAATGGAGGACCATCGGGCACTGAAAAGAAAATTGCATATTGAAAATTGTACTACATTTCGTAAACGAATAAGTTTCGTATTTTTATTTAAAAGATTATCAAATACATTTGTACATCGACGGAAACATTTTTGGCGATGTAAAAATATTTTCATGTCTACATTCTCCTACCAGATGGAGCTTCTATCTACTTACCGGCTTGCTTTGTTTTAAATCTTTCGAAAGCAATTCCACTTGTCTGGAAGGAACTGTCTTGCGCCTGTATTCCAACAATGTAATCAGTGAACGGCCTCAGTCCTCGTACAATGTAACGAGTTCCATACTGCTCACGAGAGATTCTTTGCATTCGTGTGCCGTTAAGGTAAATGATAAAGTGTGTCAGATAACTGGAGATTCTAGGTCTTGTCACTTTCCATGAAAGTTCAACAGAGAGTGTAGATGTTTTCACGACAATCTTCTCCACAGAAGCTGGTGACTGAACTGTAACACAAATTCATAATTGTTTTATTTAATTTCCGCATATTAGGTTATGTTCATGAAAATTTGTTGTTTTACGCGTTACAATATAATAATTATATCAGTGTCAACGAAAAGCCCCGTTACCATCTCCACATAATTCCACTCTGAGGCAAAAATCCGCGGTCGTCTTGATTATTGGTTCGATGCTCACATATCTCGCATTATAAATATCTATGCTCGTAATAGATGCTTGGTAGCCATTCTGGTTTCCATTTATCTGACAATAGATATAAAACATTTATATAGATAGGCTATACATAGAAGCTGATAAAAAATTTTATCATTTAGAAAACGGGTACGCCTCCAAATTCAGATGCCATGTGCCATTTTCGATATCACAAGTGGAGCCAGTTTGATTATTTTAGTTGGGGAGATATCTAAACTTTAATGATTTACATAATTCATTTCATTTGTTTTTACGATCCAGTTACCATGCATACAGAACATAAATTTATTATACACACTAGCGCTGATATGAGCTATGTGTAATCTGGTTGGCTCTCTACTATATATATAGAAAATTTGGAACCTCTTTTTGCTATTCTAACCATAGTAGAAATTTTGTTATCAACAAGATGTAATTTTTTTAGAAATGTGAGGTGTGTATCAGCAATTTTTTCAGAAATGTGTGTATTAAGCAAGCTTCATGCCGTTGGAAGTACTCGTACCTTGATTCCATGACTAGCATCGATCAAAGTTTTATTATGACTGTATTTTAATGTATATGAACGACCCCACTTGGTTTGATCCTTGTTACCCATAACTACCACCCGTGTTATATGATAATCTTTCTGAAGATCAAGAAGAATATACTTTTCCCCAGATCCCCTAGGACACCAGCCATCTCCGGCAAATCTTATTTCACTGTAATTATCGGAACCAATGCCATTAACATAGCTAGTAATATTTTCTACCAACGAGTTTTGGCACATTTTACCTGGAGAAAAACAAAAAGCTGATAAAAGCTAACAAGCAACACATTATCGTCCATCTTGAATATAGGATTAATTACTCCATTTCAACATTGAAAAATCAATTTAATAATATTTCACCAAGTCATATATGGATTAATCTTCGTGGTCTATGTACTATGTTAAAGCACGGGTATTACAAATAGTTTTAAAAGATACTTTGTAAAAGCCGAGAAAATGCATCAATTTAAGGGCTCATGCATAGATTCATAAACGATATATTTCAGTTTTCATAATAATTTATTTAGAATTTTTTGAAAATTTAGTTGTCTTTCATTCCATATTTGAATTAAGATATAATACTGCAGACCTTTACGATTATTACGTCAGAATTTTCGACTTCATTTTGCCAACCTAGAACTACCTTGAATAAATTGAATTTCAAATTTACTCTCACGAGCTATGTGCAAAGGTGCAACACATCCCTTTCTAAAAAATGCTCCAGGTCGTGGCCTCAACGGAGCCCCTTTTTGTTGTATTTTTTCATTGGACATGACCAAGACATCAATCACTTTCTAATGGTGTGAGCACGGGCGCTTTCCTGTATAGTGTATACTTACATGATGCGTATGGCAAGGCAACATTCGCAGTTGTTGTAGCAGGTTCCAGATGAATACAACAGGTTATCTCATTTGGCTTTTGGCCATGACATAAGAAGTCTCCAGTTGCAATATTTTCTCCAACCCCAACATTTCTGGTGTCGTTTGCACTGTTGTTACTACCTTTAAATCCCAAGTACTGACAAAACGCCTCCTGACTGTGTGCATCCCAGTTTTCATGATCAACTTTCCTCCAACTTGAACCATCCTTTATTTCGATGAATCCCTTGAAGGGTTTTTCTGATAATCTGATATTAGGCCCTAAACATGGTTAAATTATAGATGAATTCATTTTGGTAAAAAACAGTTTCAGTTTAAACCATCAATTCAATAAGCGTGGTCATAAATCGATCACCATATATAGCGTTAGCTATAAGGAGGCAAATAAATACGGTGCTAATTTATTTACCACAGATTTATAGCCAATATTCACCACAGAGTTATAGTCAAGATGCTTACTTACCACAGATTTATAGTCACTTTTTGGTATAAAGAATTAATTGTATAGTTAAAACTGTAAAACTCAATTAATTGCAGAATTTGATCTGATGTATCGTCAGAACCACGATTTATTATAATGATTATAATAAGTTTAAAAAATAATCATATATTGATAATGATTACGACGTCACATGCTTGCCAGATTTATGTATGAGAAAATTTCTGTACGCATGGATCATACTTTTGATAACTCAAGAATACGCACCCTTTAATCCTTTGTAGGTATCTTGACAAAGAAACTTAATGTAAATTTCTTTAGAAGTATCAGGACAATACTCTGACGGAAACAAACTGCCATCAACAGTTAATTCACAAGATCTGTTGCCACCACACAGAGACTTCACCTTACAATTCGTTAGCATGCTGCATTTTCGGTCAATGTTGGCACTGCCATCAAACACGCCATTCTTATCAAAATTCCCATAAACAGCTTTCTTGATGACCATACGTTGTTTCGGAGAACAATAGACATCTTTCATCTTACTGTTGTATGGTGTTACAGACCCTTGAATATAGTATACGATGTTTGGCTCTCATGTGGAAGAAAGATGTTTGGGTAGTTTCCGGGTAAAATTGAATTGAGTAACCTCTGCTCTATAAAGGCGGGCTCTTCATTTTTGAGAGGCTCTGCATGCATATGGTACGAGCTCGTCACGAGCAGTCGAAATTGAGCAGATTTCAAATTGGCACTGCTTAAAATATAGGAAGATAATTTATAAATTAGCAGTTAATATAATCTTTGTTGAATCTATATCAATCACTCAAACTATAAAAAATCTGCTGAATTTTATATACTATATATAATATAATATATAGCTAAATTCTCTGGCCAGTTTCATTGTACTTACCAAAAGTAAACTTTTGTTCTGGGGTATCACAATACGTTTTTCTTTCTACATAAAATGACAGGGAGGATGGCTGGGCACACACCTTATCTTTCATATTGTAAAAGTATAAAGATCCGGCATCGGTTTGCTTTAAACGGTGTTCAAGACTGTTTTGAAATCTCAATGCTGCACTGGCTTTCGCTTTAAACACAGCCAAACGATTCCTATATTCTTTATCTGTGCTCGACACAAATGATATTTTGTAGCAGTTCACTATCGAGGTAGCGGAACTGTGCTTTTCTATCCAAGCAGTCGTCAATCATCACAGTAAGGTATTTTTACTATATATGAATCGTCCTGTTGAAATGCACTTTCCAGTTCGAGAATTCCTGAGGAAAAAGGTTTCAGCATCTGCAGAAAAAAATTAACAATGTCAATAGATTGCCCTTTGTGAGTTGTGTGCAGTTATATATGTTAGTTTTACGTCACTATTATAGTTTAATTGGTAGATGAAACTGCGTCGATACGAGCTCCATGCATTTAATTTATTCATTTGGGTTGGCTACTGACTAATGAACTAAAGCAACTATATAGTGGAAATATTCTGCGGTCATCGACCACAAGAACAAACTACCCAACTTGCTTTCTTGGGTTACTGTATAAGAAATAATGGCAACTCCCACTTTGCTAGCTGTTGTGGATTTTTTGGCATCCCACTTCATGTCTTCAATGACAATTAGATATATTGATCGTCGAGTGAACAACTCCAGTTGCTGCACGAATGTAATCTGTTTAGTGCTATAATTCAAGAAGTGCAGTATGCTTATAAGGGCGTGATTAGTTCTTGAGCACTGAGATTGAGATTTAGCAATATGATCCTCTTCAAGAAGAGTCGATTAATCAAGAGTTAATCATTCCATGGGGATATATGCGCGTGGTCAGCACTTTCTTTTAGTATTCAGTTTGGGACTAGCTTTGTTGAAATTCTACCTATAAGTGGACAATTTCTTAAAGATCTGTTATATGTGTGAGGAATTGCTTTATTGACTTCATGCCAGAACATCTGAATTACGAAAATTTAATGCTAGGAGGAATCGTTACTTAGCACGGGGGAAGTGTTTCCACGCGCCAGATAGCTGGTACAGCTGCTTTCTATAGTTGAGTAGTTGTTTGGCATTTGTATCATAATATTTTCCTATAGCGATTTACTTTTTAAATCTGTAAAATGTCATAAGGTCTCATTGACTCTTTGAAGGATGGGGATATCTGGTTGCAAGGTCGTTCTTCCTGAATAGAGGCAATCACGATTGATTAGTAATCATTGGAGATTAGCTCTAGAATTTGGCACCACTCAAATTTGGTGTGAGAAGTCTCATTACTAAGAATGTTCGAACACACATTGGTTTGTGCCAATACGGTTTCATCATCCGAAATTCGAGGTGTGTGTTTCTGTATATGTTATCGTGAAAATCTGTAAAGCAGGGATGTTTTCTCTAATAATATGTGTCGTCAATAGGCCAATGTCGTCAATAATTCTCGTTGACTGGATTTGAGACTGAATTTCCTGGATGTTTATGAAATCGTTATTCATGATAATTGATTTTAACCTCTGCATGATAATTGATTTTTACCTAATCTGAACATAACAAACGAAGTGGAAGTCAAGTCTGTTCTAGGCATCGGTTCTACATGCACGCTCATAATGTGAGTTCGTCATAGAAATAAGTATTTTGGCCAAATTTTCCATGTTTCGAAATTTTCTCATCAAAAAACACTAGTTCATATTCATTTAAAGGCCAGAGACATTCAGACAACACAAGGTATTTCGAAAAATATAAAAAAATTCGAAACAAACCTAGTTTTTTTACATACGGACTTGACTTCCACTTTAAGGAATAGATTGGTATGGCATTTAAAGAATCTTTCAGGGAAAAGAAATCTGGTCAATTTAAACGTCGTAAAATGACAGATACAATTAAACAAACATGCAGTGTCACTGAGATAAGAGTAAAAATCTTGTTATACACTTCTGGACTGAATACCAAATTCATCTTATATTTCTTAAGCTGATTGATTTTATAATCGCTTGAATTAAATAAAGGTTTTTGAATACCTATATACTATTAACAACAGTCCGGCGACATGCACGTAAAGCATTTTCTCAAGAATAATTTTTCAAAGAATTTTTTCAATTATCATTGGTAACATAAAGAACAGTCTACGCTTTCAAATTCGTTTTTATGTTGGGAATGATAACCGGGTTAGTTATACACACGCGCTATTTTCTACTAGTCTACATGCATGTGCATTGCGTTGGAGCCATATAGATTGAAAATAAACTAAAATTGCAGAATAGAGTGCGATTATTTCTTTAATTAAATTATGTTTCTATATAGCAGGAATTGAATCAAGTTAAGTATAGTGGTAGTGTCACTTTGTTTTAATCCTAATTTTAATAAAATTCAGAGGCACATGATAAACCAAATTCATTTTCATTGTTATAAGGTAACTAATATAAACAATCCAGCATGACGATCGATTACCGAGCATTACCACTCATGCATCTTACTAAGGTGAATTTATTTCTCGTTCTATTTGGCGGGTTAAGCTGCGACAATGCAACACCACAGAAATTGGTGTTTATGAAGTTTCAACCCGAAAATCTGATCACTGGTTCACAATTATACATTTATGTATCACTATCAAAGAGAGAACTATTGAATAACTTTCGGAATACGCATTCTGCAATCTTTTGACAGCATGCACATCATATATATACACATCTGACAGCTGTGAAATGGCCATTTTGAATCTTTTATTTGAAAGACATATTTTGTTGAGTAGTTATAAATCATTTTCAGTCTCACCATGTTTGAAGCCTGAGTATTGACGGCTATAAGTTTTACCAATTTCCGCAGTGTCCGACCATGCAGATATTTTTATAATAAAATATATCTGCATGGTCGGACACCGCAGAGATTGGTAAGACTTTTATATCTCTATTTCAAGTTTATATTATTTCTTCCGCTTTTCTATATTTATCTTATTTCGTGACATTCCATACATTTCCTAGTCCCGTCTTCACTTTTTAATCAATTTTTTTTATAATCTTAGAATCCAGAAAAAATTCTAGCCTTTGAATTGGAGCATAAAGAATCGTTGATACAGGCTTCTTTGCCTGTAAAGGGTGGTATTAACGTGTGACTTGTGTACGGCCCTTTTCGACGCTGCTAGTTCTATATTCTCATACTTTTAACAATTATAATTAAGCGCCGGCATATTTGAACAAAATTTTATTGGAAATCTACACTCGACCTAGTCTTTTAAATAATTCCTGAAATTTGAATATTATTTTGCTGTATAAAATATCATTCTCTGTATAAAAGAGATCCACAGGAATGTCAGTCCAACTGTAGGTTTAGTGACATTCTTTTAGGCTTTTGAAATACCTGCTGAGGTCATGACATCATAATGTCAATGAGCTTATATAAGCAAACCTCTTGACACACGTGATAAAAAATGTGCGGAAACGGCGTAGATATGCATGTGTAGATATGTGTAACCTCTGCTTTCCAAAACCTGTGCCTTTGTGTATTGGCATCATTTAATAATACGGTCGAATTATGTACGTTCGCATTCTTGACTAGTATTCAAATTTAGGAATTTTCGACAGAAAATGTTTATCAAAGCGATGCTTTAATTAATTGAAATAGCAATGTAATTGCTTTACGTGAGTACGTAACTTTAAATAATTTACATAACTTCAATGAGAAATATTTTGTGCGAATTTCGTTAATAATTATTTACTGGTGCAGTTCCCTTTCTTCACCTCGTACACCATTTCGGCCTTTTAGTGATGGCTGTCATCACTTGTTGGTCATGTCGATAATGGTTAAGTTTGCACAACTCGCTATAGATATCTCCGCCAGTCTGTCTCCGCGATCGCGACCGCCCAAAACAGGCTTATATTTTTTAGTTATGCGAGTCACGCAAAGCCGAATTTGTTCTGCGCATAAGGGTTGCTTTATCCAAGATTTTAGACGAAGTGTAGATTGAGTTTGTCTTATTGCAATAGGTCTTTAAAACCCAGACGATACAAACCATATGCTGTTGTTTGGACGACTACGGCGCGGCATTGAAGATAATAATGGCTCATTTGAATACCTTTACGTCACCTCGCGTTTCATTTTAACACTGGTAAGGCAGCAAGTTCGTGTAAACAGCCTCTTAGAAATAAGTATACAACTATACATGCATATAGATGTATATCACATTTCTTTAATCTGGAGTAACGCGTACGCATGCAATCGGATATGCAAATCGGATTACTTTCTTCGAGGGAGGCATGTTTTTTTACTACTCTGGGGGCATTCGCACTTCCTCGCCTATACCGCTCCGTACACCAGGTGCGCACTAGACCTAGCTGCTAAATGACTATCTTTCGTACAGCTATACAGGGTAATAGTGTGGCATAATAAACCACAGGTTCATACTTATAAACAGTGTATTAAAGAATGTCAGAATGTCTACAAATTAAGGAAATATTTCAGGTTTACGTTTCATAGTTGTATGTCCCCCAAAGCTATATATGGTGCGCGCTGCATGTTATTATCAAAGTTAACTTGGTAACTTTGCAAACGTTTCTGAATACTTTGGATTCGATTATTCAGGGACATTGTCGGTTTGTTTGTCTAATTTTAGTCAAGACGCCCATGCATCAACACCCATGCATGCATGCTTGGTTAATTTACGTTTCTAAACTAAAGATTTAAGCTATAGGTGTAAAGCGCTTACTGATTATATATATAATATCAAAATGATGGAAAATCGAGTGATATTTAGCCCATTTATACGACGCAAAATGTTTTGTACGGTACCGAGAAAATGGCACGGGCGATGATTTAAAACAGTTTCTTATTATTATTAGGAAACACAACGTATTCCCACAATACACATTAGTCGCTATTGCTTCTCTTTCGGTTTAAATCTGCCTTTAAATAACTAACATTCACACCAATATGACCGCCTGAAGTCTCATCTACTTTTCAAAGCGTTTTAAAACATGCTCGAAGAGATGTGGGAAACTTCAGCGACATAAGCAAAGATATGATATGCACGTAATTTAGGTATAACCTATGGTATAACTAAAGGTTTGTTCACACTTTTGTGATCAAATGATCCAATTTGGTTGGATCCAAATTAACTTCTGACGTATGAAACATAGTCGATTATTGATAAAGCAGTAATGCATTGGCTTCGGTGGACTGATTTGCTGCTCGTATACATTACAAGGCATTTATGAAGACAACAGACTATAAAACATCCATCAGAGGTGAATTGGATCCAAAAAAACCTTCGCTTTCATTGTAGATATTCTGACTTCAAAATTAAGAAGACGAGTAATCTATAGTAGTTTTCAGATGAGTGCTTAAAAGTAGATAAATTTCGCTCTACTTTCTATCAACCATGAAAGACCCTCTGATATTTATCCTCAACGAATACTTTGTGGGTCTATTTTTCTCGTCTTTAGAAGGATAATATGTTACACATTGTGAATTTGTTAGGATGACAACTAGTCATCCGTCAAGTCATCCATCAGTCAGATAATTTTTACAAGTTTGTAATTCTATCCGGTAACGCGTAAAACTGTCAACCGTATGCAGGTCCGGACCCATATAGTAAGTCATCATATTCTAGTGGTCATGACGTTCCAGCACCGTCTTCCTGTGCTTCAAATTGGTACATTTTGATCTTCGATATTTCCAAGTCAACGATTTTTTCTGTGTTTCGTCAAATTTCACAAATGGACTTTTATAAAATCGTATCTAACAATAAGGTCGCCGTAAGTGTTTATTTAGGCATTATCATTTATCTCGGGAGTTAACACTGGGACGAGATTGAAGTGATAACGAATGACAGTTTAAAATTGAAAAAATGTCTGCTTGGTCAAAAATTTTTCTTCGCCTCAAACTTCATTGATATGATTTTAAACTAAGCTTTAATTAACGGTGTTAATAGGACCCTTAATTTACATGCGTGAAAATTAGCTACAGGCTAAATGTGTGGCGATTTATTTAGTCCGACACATTTTCACTTGAAATAAATGGCTGTTTATATTGTCTCTTGTTACTGACTAGTCCTTTTACTCCTTTAAAAATTAAGTGCTATTAACTATTACTATAAGTATATACTAAATAGATAATAATAATAAAAACTAATTATAAATGCTATACTATAATTAACTAAAAGTAGCTATACCATTTGTTAACAATTTATACCATGCATACACACTTTATTTTAACGTTTTTGCTTAATGCTTTGCATGCATGGTTATTCTTGCATGGGAGTGGTTTCATTTATAGGATTAATTCAACTACTGATTCATATTCGGCGACGCGAGCAATGGAACAATTCAGTAAACATTTTGTCTGTCTGCAATGTGCTGTAGCGACCATGACTCCGCTTCTCACCGTATAGGTGATAGTTATTAAAGCCGCGCAGAGACACTTATAACATTTTTTGTCAAATACCATGTGGTCGAAGTTTGCGGACAAGCAATAATCATCGAATTAGAGTTCGTCTGAAGTATTGCTATATCCGACTTCGATAGATGTAATTATAATGTAGGGTATATAGTTATATATACACTATATTCTATGCTACCGGCTATAGGACGCCGGCCATGCATTCTCAAATGCTGTCTCTCAAATATTTCAAATATAGACAAAGTCGAAATAAGACGGATTTCGAGTTTGATATGCATGGAAGAGTGAAAAATTGAGCAGGCAAAAAATTGAATCTCAGGTTTCAAGATGATTAATTCCGCTGTAAGCGATACATTTGTTGTTTTGCTTAGTAACTACGCGCTGTACAAAATTGTGTATATTTTAGGGAAGTATTAGTAAACTGTTCAGTAAGCTCTTTGTTATACTATAATTGCTATGTCGCTTTATGATTTTTATCATAAAAGCATCTGCATCACTACATGAGTACATGTTGAGCATTAGAAGTGTACTCATGCACGTATTGGATTAAAATGAAACAATATTGTCTTACCTTTAAACAGCATTTGCACAATACAATACACCAGTAATATTACCCAACTGTGATTAGTCTTTAACATTGTTCCACAGATCACCTGAAATATATGTGAACACGTGAAGCCCAGCACTAGTTCAGTATTACATCTCACGTCAATATATACTAAGGTGCAACCTGAGACAACTACAAACAGACCGCAATCATGTTAAAAAATGTGTTGAGAAATTTTACAAATTAAAGAGTTGTTTTATCAGATTATTAACTAATTCTAAGAAAAATGACCTCATGCACCAAGTCTTTTTTCACTCAGAGCAACTTGGTTTGCAATATGGCATGAACAGGTTTATATATTTTTCAAAATTAAAGAAATATTAATTAAAGAAATTAAAGAATACTAAGTTAGTTACTAAAAAATAAATATAGAATACTTTATGGTTGGCGAGTGCGTACGATTTTTATGCACGACTTGTGAAGTAATTTGTTTTTTGAATGTATATAAAGATCAATTTGACAACGACACGCTTTTAATATACAATAACACAGCGACCAACAAAAATCGAAATTTTATGCATCAAAACATATTTATTACCGTTCAGTTTCATTGTAATTTTGTTCAATTGAAGTTAGACATTCTTTCCGAAAGATATGATAATGTGCCCATGCAATGTAAAAATGTCTTGAATCTCATGTTTTGAATCTCACTCCTGCATGTTATCACTAAACAGAAATGTTTTTTAACTTGATCATCCCCCCAGCAAGTGCATGCTACCGGTAAACTTTGTTATAAATAAAAATAATTATTTTCTACCTGTTCGGTAAAAATAAAAATAGAGCTTTCTGAATGGCTATAAGGTTGTCTCGTTTTTCAATAAACGGTTTGTGCATTTGAGCCAGTAGTGTTTGAGTAACAGCTAACTGGGCAAACTTCATTGATAATTTCTCAGATTGTACTTTTAGTTCTACACCAAACTAATGGCCAAGCTAAAGATCGCGTAATTGCAAATCTCCACTATAGTTACAAATGCAAAAGACTCCTCCTAGTTTTCCCACAGCTTTGCTAAAGGTTGTCATTCGCTATCGAATATTTTCTTAGACATTTGGAGGTTTTTCAAATAGAGGCTATATTGTCTTTCTACATGTCATGTCATTGTTTCCTTCTAAAGCAAAGGTCAAAACATCACTCTTCAAATACATAAATCAAAGACCGACTCACGGATGAATTCAAATTAAGAGTGGTAATTGTGCAAAGTACATATAAGAGGAAGGTTGAAAAGCCACTTGCATGCACGAACAAGCACACGTGCCATTAATTTGTTTGTTATGTTTGACTCTCTAGCTTGACAGCACCATGCATTAATATTAATTGCTTGCCTGAAGGCAACTATGGTACTCCGCTGTATATAAGACAAAGTTATAACTTTAGTACTTTTGTCTGTTTGCCTGAGATTCGGGCAAAATGAGTACTTTTTGCTGGTCACTTTTCACTTTTCTGATGTACAATGCCGCGCATTGTATTGAGTAGGGAATTTTTTTAAAATAAGCTTAGTTACCCCCCCCCCCCATTTCTACCTGCAAAATATCACCGTCTGCAAATTTGCCCGAAGTCCCGATCTTTCACGAGGTAACCGGGAGCTTATTAACACAATCGAATTTCGCATGCTATTTTATATTCACATGATTCTAGTTTTTAAGCTATGTCCTTAATATAATGGTTATTCTGCGAAATCGAGTCGCATATGCGCTGGTATAGCCGACGAGGCGCGTAGCGCTGAGCTATAAGTATTAGTCATATATACGACGGAGTGAGCAGAATAACTGTTTTATCATATATACACAAGTGCTGGATAAAAACATCATTCAAATTTATTCGTAATTTGAACAATAGTGACTACACTTTTTTAAAAAATTGAATAATTAAATCTCGTATCATGTTTTTCTGTTTTTCGAATGTTATACTGTTAAACCGTATATATTGTGTAAACCTATATAGTTTTTAACTATATATACTGTTGAATACTTTTGTTTCAAAGTTTGTCGCCCTCTCGGTGAACTTATACTTTTATCAAGGAAAACTTGAATCTCATTGTGGCCTAACTCCCCAAATCTTGCCGCAATTTTGTTTACGTTTCCCTACTAGACAGACATGAGCTAATATCTGTGTAGTAGAGTCTGTAAAGAGAGCCAATCGGATTGCACATTAGCTCATACCCAGCGCTTGCAGTGTATATAATAAAAATAAATGCCTATACATGTTTATATGCTGTTATAAGCAGCTAAATTAAAGATAATATACCAATTGGGTTGAATTGAGTAAAACGTATCTAGAAATGTGTTCTATAGGTTAATCAGATAATAATTAAGACGATAATAACTATAGACATGGAAAATGTCATTCACCTCATTAAAGTCGATGATAGAGATTTGGGAAACCTTATCGGTTGAAACAAATTTCCTTTGCACGCACTTCCTGTAGATAAAATTTTTGTCATTCTTTAGACAGAAAGAAATCTTTAAAGAAATTTTTACTCCATGTATCGACCTATTACACTTATATTCCGAGGTTTAAATTGTATACCGTTTTACCTGCAAACAGACTAGCTCTTAGCGCTAGTCGCGTCCTTTGCAATGGGATTCTGACCTCCAATGATTAACGCAGTTGCGCCTGCGAAAGCACTGAACATAATGTTTGTTTGTGCAAATGAGGTTGAACATGATATAAAGAACTATAAAGCCTTATGTTTCAAATATCAAATGAAAACCGAATTCAATTATTAATATCGAAAACTATATTAGTGCATGGCTTGCATTGGTTATCCAGTTAACAAATCGTCATAAACGAGCATCAACGCCCGGTATTGCAAATTTGAAATTGAAGTTTTCCGGCAACGGGCAATATGATGCCATAAAGTGAATATAATCAGTTATAATGTGACTATGTGAATTTATAATGTAAACGTGCGATTGGCTCACTGAGGCTGAATCTAAAATTCAGGTTTGTATCAGCATAACCACAGATGGCATAACGGCCATTTTAAAACTTTTTGGAAATTATCTTTTTGATCTCGGATCATCTTGAAAATATACAGATTACAGAAAATTCACTTGTAAAAATGATTAAAAAGATATTTAGAAAATGCCTTGCGACAGAAAAACGGCTGCGATTCAAACTCTGAGTTTTGAATAGGTAAATGGATATAGTATTTCAAGTATAAATTTTGTGAATTTGATCAATAAATGTATAACAACTCTTTTCAAGTTATTCATCCGCAGTTTCGTTCAAATTAATTTGAATTGGTAAAAGTTATTTATATTGAAAAATTATTTATATTATATTCATTTTGAAGTCTTACATGAATGCATTTATAAAGAAGAAGCGTATTGTCGCAATCTAAACAATTCGATATCAATCTCAATCAAATCCAATTTACTGTTAATTCTCATTTCAGAGCTTTTGCCGAATATATACTTCCGAATTTTCCCTTTTACGTATAATGAATAGTTCACACTTTGATCTGTGTTTCTATTATTATATGCAGACCTAACCCCTATATAAGGTTGAATCGCCGGAACAAGTTTTTGTTCTTTCAACCATGCATAATTTCAACCATGCAGTCTATGGCGTTGATACGGTATTGATCCCGCTGAAATCACTCTGCTAAGAACAAATAAAAAAGTTATTCCAAATTGAATATAGTGAATATATAAATACCACCTCTCGTGAAAATTGCATCGTTGAGAATTGTAGTATGATGTAAAAAGCTGCTTTTGCAATTGGTACGAATTGCGTGCTTTACGCGCTGCTAGGAAAAGCGCTATTAGTTTTATGCCTGTCCTGGTTGTCATAAATTGCAGCCTACGCTGAACTTTCTCCACTCTTTTTCAAGTGTTATTCTCACAAACCCTTTGCAGTTTCTGTCAGTATCAGTCTTACCTTAATATTTTGATTTTATGAACAGTTTTTCAGGGATAGTTGCATTTCACAGCAATTTTAAATAACATGCAGGCGTTAGTTGTAGATCTGTTTTCCCTTCGCCATACATATAGTCATAGAGTTTCCCCTTCAATTAACATAGCTACATAGAGTTTCCCCTTCACAGCTTCACCATACACAGAATCCCATGGGTAACATACATGGAGAAGAGGTCGTAAATGCTGCCAGAAAGACCAATGTAATTGCATGCTCTATAACCCACGACCTACAAGATCTACAGGGTGTCCCAAAAAAAACGAAAACTATTGAAGTCACTCATTGTTAAAATTTGAATGCCGTGTTCACGAATTTCAACCCGTGGGGATTTAATGCAACTTATAAAAAGCTAAATGCTTTGTGTTGCTAGAGAAAGGGGACATATCGAAGGTCATGGTCCTTGAGATGCACATTTAAATAACGTTATCCATATTTGTAAATTGTAAATATTGTTAGTAAATATCATTTTTGCGAACAAGCAAATTTTACTGCATCATATGCATGCATAAAAATGAGTATGGTAAACATTTATACACCTGTGGGTCCCAACAGAGTGCTTAGGCATTCAAACTCTAACAATTGCATTGTTACGGGTGATTTCAATAGTTTTCGTTTTTTTTGGGACACCCTGTATTGTCAAATTCGCATGGAACAACTTACCAAATTTGGACAAATTTTCCTTGTTAGATGGTTGGCAAGAAACCACCGACGACAATTTTTCGAAAAAGTAATAACTTCGTGGAAATGACCACGATATCCACTCCAAATAGTGTTATACTACACTAATTATTGGGTTTAAAATAACACCCTCTGATACAAGTTAAGATTGGTAGAGTTTAGTAGCCCTTTGAACTCTGGTATTAGTTGCTGGTTTAGAATGTTCGTCTTCAGCTGCAACTTGTATCTATTCAATGTAGAGCCAACCTGGGTGTTCAACCCACGAAATATTGTATATTCTAATATAGTTTGCGAATTAAGTATCTATAGTACTCTGTATATGTCAAAAATCAAAAAACCTTTCTGTATAGACATTGAAGAGCCATGTTTAATTTTGGATTTCCGTTTCTTTGTATTCTATAACTCAACGTCTGCTAAACGTCTCTTTGTGTTGTAAATCGTCCCGGGCTAATTGCCGTTTATCATTGTTTCTGCGACTTTATAAATGTTAATCTCATGTTTGTTTTCAAAAGCCACACATCCGGACTGGATGCATGCATGAGCAAAAAATACAAGAAAATTGTTCTTTCGAAATGCCCTTCAACCCCAACTATGTATTAAAATTTTATTCTCTTGTACACCAATTGCAATCGATTAGGTAGTCTTCGCAACGTGTAAAAGCGCATTCACCCGTTTTCGCGGAATTTCTATATCACTGTATTCTTTACTTGTTTAACTATTCACCTAAGACTGCGTTCACATGGTACCGTTCGCTCGTCACGACATCTTCGTTTGCCGTTTAGAGCATCAGTTGTGTCACAACATCTTTATTTGCCGTTTAGAGCATTTGCACATTTGTGCAAAAGTTATCAATTTAATAATGCTTATTTAGATCTCGGGCAATAAAAATCTTCACTGTCTTTTATTACTTATAAAATTTCACCTGTTCCGATAGCAATCCGGTACCTTGTCAACGTGGCCTAGGTCCCAAGTAAACGCTTACCTCGTGTAAAATGCCCAGACTGCTATAATAGGGTTCTCAGTTGCTAACAATTTCTTTATTCAACATCATTTTGTTTTGAAATCGTGATAGCTCCGCATATTTAATTACACATGTGGTAAAGTGTTAGTTATCAAATTAACTAAATATTCATTCTAAATTAAACAAAATCACATACCTTGAGACGTTTATGAAAAGTCTTATTTCGTGAATCCCGTCGTGGGTAGTGAATTCCATAATGTTGCATGGTGCATAACATAAAGTTGCAACTGAATACCGAATAAAATAGCTCTCGACAGTCGAGGCATTCTGACAGATGTCTGACAATTGTGTCATATTAAGAGTAGCACTTGGATATGGGTGCACATATGTCCTATTACTTGTTTTCTTTCGGCTTAACGGCAAAGTTCGATTCTATACCAAAGGTTTTATGTTATCAGTGGCGTATAGCCAGCCTCGCGAATTAGTCCCGCTATGCAAGCTTTAGTCTTATATAATGATTCGTTCCTTCAGAAAGACTTTAATGTTTATGCACAGCAGAACATTAGCATAGCGGAAGTTAATCGTCTGGCTAGCTACTTTACTGTATGTAATTGGTCGCCAATACTAAAGGCCGACACACACCGGCCTTTGTGACTGGTCTGGTACCGATATCTCTCAAAACGTTCTTTCAGAATTTAATGTATTTGCTTTTTAAAATGAAAAATTCGTCCGGTCGCGTTAGTGAATCTCCAGTGTTCGTGGGCCTTAAAGCACCAATAGATGATTGAAGGCGGACGTGACACGAAGACAGCTTTCAGTATTATTAATACAGAAACCATGCAGTAAAAGTGCACTGAAATTTGCTCGAGAGCGTTAGCTTTTAGCTTTAATTGTTGTATATATTGTAGCAAGAAGTTTGTCTAAGCAGAATATTATGATTACACTCAGAATACCCTGGTTTTAACCCAAAAACCTTGTTCATGAAGGTTATATATTGTTGTGAAATTACCCTCCCGAATGAGTCAATCAGTAATAGTGCTATCATTTCCATACAAAAAGTTCAAAGTGGACACTTATCCGTGTGAAAATTTTTTTTTTACAAAAATGATTCAGATCTCTCCTGTTTAACGATTGAGTCATGAACTGTGAGACTTTTCAGATAATATTTTTAAAAATTTTGCTATTTTTCTTATTTTATTTTGTATGCATGTTTTATAAAACGTTCGGAACGATCTTGTTGAATACGAAATAGATCACTTTTAGCGTAGGAAATCTGGAGGCCTCATGCTAATTTCTAGTTTTTGCTCATTTATATTTCACGCGTCCGCATTACCAGCAATGACTATCCAAGGTCTACCTAGCTCCGGCTAGGTCTATAGTTTCGGCTTGGTTTTTTTTTAACTCGCATTGCGCAATGCGCAAGCGAGTTCTTAAAATGGGAAGCGTTCTTATTAATATTTTTATGGTCGAGAATTTCGCGACCCGCAAGGTGCGATAAGGTGCGCTGACCTGCAAGCCATGAGCTACGCAGGCGTGGTTGCTAAGCTAACGTGCATGCTGCACTGCTGAGTGCATCCGTTCATGACGCAGGCCATATCTCCCTAATCGGGAACCTGCGCACAGGTAAGTTGCTAGTTATATCACCTGTTGTATTCACTTTGGGCATATTTCGTTTCACCTTCGAACTTCGAAGCAGTAAAGTAGAATCAATAAAGCGATCAAAATGCTAGCGATCAAAGTGCTATCTTTATCTTTACACTCATTACACATACAACTAACTGCACACGCCGAGCAGAGTAAGCCTGCACTTAAGGATTTCAAGCAGTTTCGAAATAGGCTGTTGTGTGTTTCTCCTGCTTTCAACATGCGACTATGTATATTGTTCATTTTTATTATTAAGAACATTTACGACACAAAATTTGCATAGCTGGGCTGGCTACGCCGCTGTGAACGACGCGATCATATAACGCCTAGTAGGCGTCTTGTTAGGTTATATTCTTATTCCAATGATACCTTAAAAATAAAACCTTCATGTGTGTCCTAAATTTTATCGTTTACCTAAAGTACATAAATTATGTAAACCTCTTACACCTATAGTTGCATCTCAAGTTTCACTTATATTTAGTTAAATATCTTTCTTGAGTTAAAACCTGTTGTCGGTCTAACAGAACATCGTGTAATTAATTCTAAAGAATTTGTTGAATCAGTGAAGATGGATTTCAAAATGGGCAAAATGATATTAATAAAATGATATTAATAAAATGATATTAATAAAATGAATTACAACTATCGATATTTAACAAAATTGAAGTGTTAAGGTATATGAACATCTTAGAGATACGATACAAGATTGCACTAATTAGGTTATATTCTTATTCCAATCGTACCTTCAAAATAACTTCAGACATTATAATTATTTGTAATACTTAAAAAATCGCCTATATTCACCTATTACTAGGATTTTTATGTACTAAAATGTTATAACAAAACAAAGTTTAGTTACAGTTCAAAAGTGTAAGTTTTCATGCAAGTATATACAGCGGATATATCGTTTAATATATGACTTTTGAAATGTCACATGCACTGTTTCCAAGAATGGGCAGAGCGTTCCATTTGTGCTTTGACATAGTTGCAGTGTTGTTGAAAGGAAGTTGCTTTAAAGAAAGTGCTTGTGTTAAAACAAAGTGCTTTCCCATGACTGTAGGATCCCCTTTCGTATTGATTTTCCACCTTTAAAATACCACAAGCATTTCGAATATGTTTACGAATATTTTTTAGAGTGCGTGACTTTCAGACCAGTTTGCATGAGACTTGTTGTAGGTCCCCGCGCAGCGCCGCCAGTTCCGCGTGCAGCAGTTACGTGAGCACTTTATGTAAATATAGTTTAGTTGTTTGTAAATACGTCACAAGGACACATTGTTGATTCGGCACAAAGACACGTTGTAATGTAATATAGCACTATTAATTAACGCTTGCATTGAATTTTGATACCATTATTGAGTCAGATCGTAGAGGAAGCATGAACTCACGCTGTAAATAGAATCTTTAAATAAACGATAGAATACAGTCCCCTGAGTGGTTTTTTACGTGGACCAGTGTGCGCGGGATCGATTGGGGATTCTGCAAAACAGTGGTCCTTCGAACCGGATTTGTGAAAGGTGAACGAGGCTGCGGACAAAGAGCGAGTGATATTTGCGCTGCCGTCGTGTGTAAAAGATTTAGCGTGAAGTGGAACAACGAAAGGTATGGACGATCTGACGAGGAAAAGACGGGTGAGAGGAGCTCATAGAGCTTCGGCTAGTAAACTTGTAGCGAAGATAGTTGAAACGATTCCGAGAGCGATTGACGAGAAAGCAGAAAGGGATTTGACATGGCTGAGACAAAGCCAGGTCACGTTACGAGAGAAAGTCAAGAGGTTAAAGGAACTCGATGAACAGATCATTGACATACTAAGCGCCTCGGGAGATGAAGACGCCGAAGCACAGCTCAATAAAGAGGTCGAAAGTTCAGACGAAGCGGTCGCAGAATTTGAAAGGACATTGATGAAAATCGACGACGCGCTGCGGGAATCCGGTGAACAAAGACTGCCATTGTTGACGACGCCAGACGAAGGAAACCTAGACCAGAGCCGTATATCGACAGCCAGTACGGGAAAGATCGTCAGAGCAAAGCTTCCGAAACTAAAGCTTAAGAACTTCAACGGTAAAGTATGTGAGTGGCCCGAGTTTTGGGACGGGTTTTCAAGCTCGATAGACAACAATGACGCATTGTCTGACGTTGACAAGTTTGCATATTTGCGCGGATATTTGGAAGGACCAGCGAAGTCTACAATTGCCGGATTAGCGTTAACAGGGACAAACTACAACTGTGCAGTGGAATTGCTTAAGAAACGGTTCGAAAAGAAAAGCATAGTTCAACGAGCACACGTGAATGAACTCATACAACTGCCGGCAGTTTACAAAGAAAGGGACACGCAGAGACTACGGAAGTTGTTTGACAGCTGCGAAACGAATAACCGCGCCTTGAGAGCCCTGGGGGTGAACGAGAACTCGTATTCCGCTATTGTTGTTCCGACGATCATGGAGAAGCTGCCCGAGCAGTTTCGCTTGACTATTACGAGAGGGCAGAACTTCCTGGAGTGGTCAATGGAGGAAATGCTACAAGCCTTTGAGAAAGAGCTCGAACTACGTGAAGCGCACGATGCGGTGGGATCGAGGTCGAGAGTACGAAAGAAACGATGGGAGTTCGGCGTCGGGTAAAAATATGGTCAACAACATGGAACTGCATCCACGTTAATAGCGAGTGAAAGGAAGGGAAACTGTGCTTTCTGCTGAAGATCCACAAACACGAGAACTGTGAGGGAGTAAAGGATCCGAAGACACGAAAGAGTTTGGCTCGCAAATACGGTAGATGTTTTGTTGTTTGTCTAAGGGTCATAGAGCCAGTAGTTGTAAGGTCGAGAACAAATGTAGTGTTTGTGATGGGGCTCATCATGTTGCACTGTGCGAAATGAGTCCTAAGAGCGAGGGTAAGCATGACGAAATACCCAAGCCTAATGACGAATGTAAAAACGTACCCAATAACACGAATGTGCATGTGACTACTCCTAATAGTAACTTGCATGCTGGAACTGGTAGCCTGGTTGCCTTGCAGACTGCACGTGGCGTTTTAAGGGGGGAAAGGGTGGTTAAGGTGCGGGTCCTCTTTGACGCGGGAAGTCATCGTTCCTTTGTTACTTCCAAAGCAGCTGGTCTCGCGAATCCCAGGGGTATAAGAAGGGAATTGTTAGGAATTAATACGTTCGGTCAAAAATGCGTAAAAGCCGAGCACAGGGAAGTGGTTGAATTAAAGCTTGAACCTCTTAACGGAAATAAGGTTATCACACTGGAAGCATTTGTAGTGCCGGAAATATGTAGCATAGGAAATAGCCATGTAGAGATAGCGCGGAGGGAGTATAAACATCTGGAAGGTATATGGTTTTCAGATGTTTCTAAGTCAGAAGATGAGTTAGAAGTAGATGTTCTGATAGGGGCAGACTACCTTTGGAGCTTTCAGACAGGGACAACCAAGAGAGGTAAATCAGGAGAACCTGTTGCTATAGAAACAGAATTAGGGTGGGTTTTATCAGGACCGCTGAGAGTACAAGACATTGAGAGAGCGGAGCCAGTCCAAGTGAATTTTGTAGCACAGAGATTGAGTAGTGAAGACAGTTTGGAGAGTAATGTGCAAAAATTATGGAGTTTTGAAGGGTTAGGCATTAGTGAGGAAGATAAGGTACATGAAGAGTTTTTAGATGAAATATCATTTACAGGAAGTAGATATTCAGTCAAACTGCCCTGGAAGGAGAGCCATAAGAAGTTGCCTGACAACTATGCAAATAGCTTAAGTAGAATGAAGGGTCAGCTGCGACGACTGAGGAAAGAGCCAGCATTGTTAGCAGAGTATGATTCTATCATCAGAGACCAGGTAGAGCGAGGGATAGTGGAGCCAGTATCTGCATTAGAGAAGGTTGAAAGGGTTCATTATTTACCACACCAGGCAGTATTCGCAGGGAGGCAGTGACCACTAAACTCCGGATCGTCTATGACGCATCATCCAAGGAAGGTAAGTCTGGGACATCGCTTAACGACTGCCTACATGTTGGGCCTTCTCTCAATCCATTATTATACAGCATATTTAATACGGTTCAGAGAAAATAGGATTGCTTTAGTTGGTGACATAGAAAAGGCATTTTTGAATGTTGAAGTAGATAAGGCGGATAGAGATTGTTTGAGATTTTTGTGGGTCAATGATATAGAAAGTGATAAGTTGGAGAGTTGTTTATAGGTTTTGTAGAGTAGTTTTTGGAGTGAATGCATCACCATTTCTACTGAATGCAACCTTAAGGCATCATTTAACAAAGTATAACGAAATAGATGCTGCATTTGTAAGAAAGTTGCAGGAAAGTTTTTACGTTGACGACCTGGTCAGTGGTGAGAGTACGGTAGAGAAGACCTTTGAACTTTATGATAAGGCTAAGACAAGAATGGCACAAGGGGTTTTAGATTAAGGAAGTGGTTGACCAACAGTGAGGTGTTAAGGAGTAAACTAGAGATTCACGAAAAAGATCAGGGTTCGTCAGAACAAAGCATCAATGATCAGGAAACATATGCTAGGTTATCTTTGGGAGCAGTAGGGGGTGAGTCAAAGGGCCATAAGGTTTTAGGGCAGGTGTGGGATAACCACAAGGACGAACTGAAATTTGAAATTTCCAAGGTGGGAGAAAAGGCAGAGACGTTATCGCCAACAAAGCGGAACCTCCTGAGCATTTTAGCCAGTTTGTTCGATCCTCTAGGGATAATAAGTCCATTGATAGTTAGTGCCAAGATCTTATTCCAGGAGGTTTGTAATAGTAAGACGGGTTGGGACGACAGCTTTAAGGAAGAGCCTTTAAGAAAGTGGGAAATCTGGTATAGGGATTTGATTGAGACCAAGGAAATCACTATTCCTCGATGCATATACCAACATCCAGCGGAAGAGGTTTTAGGGTGCACATTACATGGGTTTGGCGACGCTAGTAAGAAAGCATATTGTGCGGTAGTATATGTTGTTTATTATACAAATGTAGGAAGTTATGTCCGCATGTTAACATCAAAGGTAAGAGTAGCACCTCTTAAAACAACTAGCATTCCAAGGTTAGAGTTAATGTCTGCGAGGCTCTTAGCGCAGTTACTAAAGTCAGTGAAAGATTCATTAGAAAACCAGGTTAGTATATAATACGAAGTTGTGGCTTGATAGCATGACAGCACTCTACTGGATAATGAACAACGGTGAGTGGAAACAATTCGTCCGCCACAGAGTAAATGAAATCCTGAAATTAACAAACAAGGAGGATTGGGGACATTGTCCTGGGGTGGAAAATCCCGCGGATATAGGGTCTAGGGGTGTAGTTGCTTCACAATTGAAGGATAACAAGCTATGGTGGGTGGGGCCTGATTGGCTTATTAGGTCTAAGGAGGAGTGGCCGAAATTTGAGGCTGCTGCCAAAACAAGTACGGTCTTAGAAGAAGAACGAAAGTCTTCCGTAATGGTCGTAGCTAGTAGTAAAGAGTTAGCTAGTATAAGCAAAGTGATAAATCTGGAGGATTATGGGACAGCGGAACGACTTTTCAGAGTAACAGCATGGGTACTTAGGTTTGGGTTCAATGCACGAGCAAAGTCTAAGGGCATGGAAAAGCGCTGTGGAGAATTGACAGTAGAGGAGCTTGACGAGGCGGAAAATAGATGGATTAAACAGGCTCAGGCAGAGTTAAAGGAGGCTAAAAAGTACGCCCAGATTAGTAACAGTCTAGGCTTGATGGAAGAAGGAGGTATCATAAGATGTAAGGGTAGACTGCGTAACTCTGAGCTAGAGTACAACACGAAACACCCAATCATTATTCCCAAGGATAATAGATTAACTGAGCTGATTGTCAGAAAATGTCACAGTGAAGTGCACCATTGTGGGGTTAGGGCAACCTTGGGCAGGCTAAGGACGAAATATTGGGTCGTGAAGGGAAGGCAAATGGTAAAGCGAGTTATAGGTAAATGCGTCACCTGTAAGAAATTAGAAGAAAGGGCATATGGGGGGAGACAGATGGCAGACTTACCAGGCTTTCGAGTGAAGGAAGCTGCTCCTTTTTCTAATGTGGGAGTAGATTTTGCAGGTCCATTGTTTGTTAGGTGTTGCACCAAGGCATCCAAGAAGGCGTATATCGCATTATTTTCCTGTTGTGTGACTCGAGCAATACATTTAGAGCTAGTGCGTGATTTGTCTGCGGAGACATTTCTGTGTTGCATGAGAAGATTTGCAGCGAGGAGAGGAATGCCGAGCCTAATAGTGTCAGACAACGCCAAGACGTTTAAGGCAGCAGAGAGAGCAATAAAGAAGTTGTTTAATCAACCTAAAGTAAAAGCAGAATTATTAACGAAGCGAGTAACTTGGAGGTTTAACTTAGAAAGGTCGCCTTGGTGGGGAGGGTTTTTCGAGCGAATGGTTAGGAGTGTTAAACGATGCCTCAGGAAGGTTTTAGGCAATGCCAAATTAACAGTAGATGAACTTAACACAGTATTAGTAGAGATAGAAGGCACATTAAATTCCAGACCATTGACAGAAGAATATGAAGAATTCGAAGGCGATGTATTAACGCCATCACACTTAATTTACGGAAGAGCAATTAATTTCATACAACGGAGGGAGGTAGCTAGGGAGGAAAGTAGTTGTGGAGAAAGATTCAAATATATTACATTGAAATTACAACATTTCTGGACCAGATGGCAAAGTGAGTATCTCATAGGGTTACGAGAATTTCATAAAAGTGGTAATCGAAAGGCAAGAAGTTTGAAGGAGGGCGAAGTAGTTGTAGTTTATGGAGAAGGAGAGAAGCGAGGCAAGTGGAAACTAGGGAAGGTAGAACAGCTAATTTTAGGAAATGACAGCAAGGTTAGGGGAGCTAAGTTAAGAATAGCAGGAAAGGGTAAACCAGTTTACCTGAAAAGACCGGTGCAGAAACTTTACCCGTTGGAAATTCAAGCTCGACCGGGTGGGAACGGGACGGAAGGGAATTCCCCTTCAGGTGAGGCAGAGGGTTCCTTGCATGATCTGCATGAGCGTCCGAGACGAGCTGCTGCTGAGATTTCAAAAGCGAAGACAAGGGCGATGCTTGATTCATAGACGTGTATGAATCAAGGTGGGTGGGATGTTGTAGGTCCCCGCGCAGCGCCGCCAGTTCCGCGTGCAGCAGTTACCTGAGCACTTTATGTAAATATAGTTTAGTTGTTTGTAAATACGTCACAAGGACACATTGTTGATTCGGCACAAAGACACGTTGTAATGTAATATAGCACTATTAATTAACGCTTGCATTGAATTTTGATACCATTTTTTGAGTCAGATCGTAGAGGAAGCATGAACTCACGCTGTAAATAGAATCTTTAAATAAACGATAGAATACAGTCCCCTGAGTGGTTTTTTACGTGGACCAGTGTGCGCGGGATCGATTGGGGATTCTGCAAAAAGACTGAATAATCGCTACGCGCCAAACTTGAGGGGAAGCATAACATGACTATATTAAATAGTGGTTTGTCTGTGTAGTCCTTCAAAGAAGGCATTCGGGTCTTTCTGATACTCAGTTTCGTAATAATTATTGCAACGAACCTATGATGTATAGCCTGTCTCTTCCAATTCGCTTTCGAGGACTTCCTTCCCACGAATATATAGTATATAATGAATGCGAACGAATTGCAGTTTTGCAGTTTAGTACCACTCGTTTTTAACAGGATATTTCGAGCGAAAGTACCAAGGCTTTTTAATAAACATCTCACAGGAAGTCGTCCCGCATTCATCCGCGTGTCCCTATAGTGTTTTTACGCACATGCATGCGGGAAAAAGGTTTAAACACAATAGCGTAACAGCTGCACAAACAATAATTTTGATATCGTGGCGGGGCTAGGGTATAGCCGCCGTCTTTATGCGTCTTTTTTTAAAATTCAAAGCAATACATGTTACAAAAAACCGCAGTATACATCTGCAAGTACAGTTGTGAGAAACCATGCATTGCTCGACTACTTCGCCTCCTTCGAAACTATTTGCTAGCTATCGTTTTCCCCAAGTCTGTTATTATTATTGGCGAGGGGTAAAGTCGAAGAGACAGTATAAGTGTGGATACGTTCCAATATAACCAGGGAGCAGCGTCGCAGCGTCTTCAAACAACTTAGCATCAAATGTGGTATAACAACTGCCTAAAATAGACAAAACACTTCTCGATGTTTCGACCTGCGTCAGGAGAGTTAGTATGAAAATAAATAGGGGAGAGCAGATTTGGTAAACAACTAAGAGTTAGACTAATTATCTTAGCGGTGAAAGCCGGTGGTATACTGGCCTATTATGATGCATTTAAATTCATATTAAAAACTTTAATGATTGCTGGTTTTGCTTTTAAATTTTTAAGTCTCAAAAATTAACTATAGTGTGGAGTTTATTTTTTAGGACGTTCCTTGCGTCATTCACACAGGACGTGAATTCCTGACATTGGTCGTTGTAAACAGAACGTGGGAGACGTCTAAAACTCTTATAGGCCTTTGTAATTATTTCAGTGTTTCTTTTCAATGTCCCATTGTATTGATAGCCGCCGTCATCATGTTCCGGTACAACTATATATAGTTTAATAATATGTTATAACTGTGGTCCAACATCGAAAAATCGCGTCGGAAATTTCGCCGGAAGATAAAAATACTTTGTTAAAAACTTCCTTTTGTGAGTACGCATGTCTCGTTATATAAGTGGCTAGGTATAGGTGTTGCATTTTTTAAAGCCTCAAAGACGCACGCTAATCTTGCACGAAACAGAAGTTATATAACATTGTCATTGGCGTTAAAGTTTTTTCGAACTGTGCCCATGTATAACATTTCGTGAGAAGAGTCCACATTCAAGAATTACCGAAGCAAAACACTGGTCGAAGGCGTAAGTTTAAAACTTAACTTTTTATGCATTTGCTAAGTGTTGCTCGCGAACAAACATTTCAGGCAGCAAGAACATGGAATCCAGGGGTTTTTTTAGAAATAGCAAGTTCGCAATTCACAGATATTTGAGCCCGAATATTTTCAAATTCACGATTTTTCCCTAAAAGCGAAACGAATAGTTTTCAGAATATATCGACAAGTGCATAATATTTCAGTCTAGCAGCTAAGCTTTTCAATGATAAATATCCTAAACTAGCTACTCAATTTCATAATAGACGGCAGGGTCGCGGTTATACAAAGCTCTTTTAGATTGAATTTTTTATCTTTCATGCATGACTAATAACCTAAATATCAGTATATGCACTAAATGCGCGTATATCTGTGACTAGATTCAGTATTTATTTCTTTTTAGTGCCAATGCCTGCATGGGAATAGATAATATATTTCTAAAAGCCTGCAGGGGCTTATGCTGTTTTACTGCAACACCAAAGTAGCTACGTGCATGGGTGTTCATTGAGTGTTGCATGCAACATGAATAAAATTTTCTCGCTCTAATCACTTTTACACCGATTTCACTTGGCGACGGAGCTCGCCAGGAGAACTGTGTGATAGGACTTATAGGATCCTGACGGCTTTTCACAAAATTCAATAAATGTTCTTAAATTTTTAATGCTTTCAAAAACTATTAGAACAAAATATGCTTCGCAAATGTTTTAGAGAAGTCAATTCCCACATAGGCTTAGTTTTTTGTGTGTATTTTTGCAGCTATTTAAGAGTATTTATTTAAGAGTATTTTCCTGTATATATCTGCATGTGTACACTGTTTGTGCCAGTATATGCGAAAATTTGAGTGATGGTTGTACGAACATTATGTTTATATAGGGCGTGCGTGTCTGCAATAGCCAACAGGGCCGTTTATAGGGCGTCTTGTGTTTAGTCAAGATATCGAATAACAACGTGGATATCTAAGATTGCGGGCTGGTTGGGGTCCAACGTCTTATAAATTATCGGAAAAACTATTTGTGTATTTCAGTACATCGGGAATGAAGTATAAAATTACGGTGGAAACCGGGAATCTTGCTGGTGCTGGTACTCGTGCATCTGTTTCAATAAAACTTATTGGTAAGAAAGAAAAATACAATACTATCAACCATAACAACAACTATGAAGTTCCACAATCTTTAAACAAACAGTGATGTCAGAAACACGGGGTCCTGGGGACACGTGGTCCCCTAAATTTGCCCTTTTTTTAATGTGACCGTTGTACAATTGTGCCCTTTAATCTTTTTAAAAATGTACATAAACCTAACTGACAACTGATTTTAAGAGATATTCGTTCAGAAGAACAAGAATTTATGAATTTATTCACCCCGATCAATGTTCTCTTAACACAAAAACAACTATAACACAGCTATCGAAAATTAATTCCACAAAGAGTGCTCTTTTTTTGATTTTTAGTGCCCCTAGAAATTTTTGCGACCATGGTCAACAATTTTCTTCCGCCATCCCTGCACAGGAATTGATGTAAAACTGAAAAAATACAGAATCTAATTTGTACAGTTTTCGTCTGATGTTCAGCCCCACTTAATATAGCCGTTTACCTGTCCTGATGCATCTGTTTGAGACGACAAATATCAACATGCTTTACGATATTCCCAACGTAAACAAACCTTTCGCGCATTACTCTAAACTCGTCTCCCAACGCAGGACTTCATTAACATTAAAAAAATGTAAATTTTGAATAATACATTACAATCATATCAAAATGTCAGATTACCTGAAAAGTGTTATATCTAGGCAAAAATGGTACCGAAACATCACAGTATCCACTCCACAAAAATTTTTCACACCAACTTTAACAGAGGAGAAACCGATACGTATGATGTAGCCGGCGACGATGTTGGAGAGATTGCGATGATCTCTTTGAACAAGCATGATTTCCTCATAAAGAATGATTGGTACTTGGCAAAAGTTGTTATTGAGAAGGAGAATGACAAATGCAGCAGTTACACATTCCCTTGCTATCGCTGGATCATTAATTCTGTGGTAGTTTACGAAGGAAAAGGTACAAAATATTGATCCTACGAGTGAGATTAAAATTAGATCGGTCTTTGAGGCCAGATATTATTCATAACTCTGTACGATTGTGGAAACACCACGTGGATTTCGTTGAAAAATTCACATTGAAAGGAGTCAAAAATCAAATATATATAACCTATAATTTGTATTCTCACGACTGAATTATTTAAAAAAATAGCTCACGTACATGATAGAATTATATTAATATTGTATACAATTTTGATATATAATAAGTGAAGTCGAGAAATTTATAAGCTTCCAGTTTCATTTAAATTTCATTTGCTAGTGCTAAGGACTTGCATTATGATAACCTTCGTATTCAAATCAAATTTTTTAGCGATATTGCCTAATTCAAAAGAGAATGTAACCACCTTAGCTAAACAGCGCAAGAAAGAAGTTAGTGAGAACAGAGAGCTGTACAATTGGGGCTCTGATCCAAGGTATTCTCAGGACCTTCCTGGATTTGTCGAAGCGAAGAACCCGCGGTCACTACCAAAGGATGTGCAGTTTACCGACGAAGCTACAGCGTCTCTTTTTAACGTCGGCTTAGCAAGCTTTGCGAATATGGGGTTGAGCAGCCTTTATCGGGTTTTGAAGTCATGGCTGACTTCAATGATTTTATGGATGACCTCATGGATGACCTTGAATGATTTCATGATTGCCTTCAACCGCATGAATGTTCTCGATGATTTCAGAACCCTCATTACTCCCGCCATCGAATCGTGTCTTCCTGATTCTGTAGATTATTGGAGAGATGACGTGTGGTTCGGATCACAGTTCCTCAACGGCTCAAACCCTGAAGTGATCAGAAAGTGTAAGAAGCTGCCTCAAAATTTTCCTGTCAAGGATGAAATGGTGAACAATCTTCTTGATAGGAGATATGACTTAAATCAAGCTATCAACGTAAGAAACATAACACATTTTCATCACCTCAGCTCTAAGCAAAAATACATTTTGCACGTAGAGGTTCATCCGTCACACATTTAGAATGTACAACATGCACGAGTCGGTTCCTAGGCATTTCTCATCAGTGTATTCATTGATATAGGAGGGCTTGATTTTCATTGCTGACTACAAAATTCTTGAAGGCATCAGCACAATGAACAAACCAAAAGATAAACGCTATATTGCAGC